CTACACATTACATTACATTTTTCCTTTTTTTGGTCATTTGTTTGCAGTGCACATATGAAGGATGTTTGATTATACTCAGCAGTTTGCAAGATTCTTTGATGTTAAGTTGTTATTGTATTAATATGGTATGAGTCACAAATGAAGCATATGATGTAATTTGAGTCTCTGTCTGTGCTGTGGTCATACTGAAGACCCAGCTTGTCTTCTGTTAATTCCAAAAAGCTGCTGCTGAGATGATCAAAACATGGATTTTTTATGGGCAGACCTACTCAGCTGGTTGTTAGGGAATGCAAATGTGTGGTTCTTACATGTTGGATATACAGTAGCTTGAGTCAGTGATGGAGAGAAGAATAAAAGACCATGTATTTTCATAAAACTGCCATTTGTTTTACTTTGAAAAATAGAGCTGGCAATATTCTATATTTTTCCTCATGTTGATGAATGAAAGAGACAAAACGATTAAAACAAAACGATTAAAACAACATTTATTTGATTCAGTCACTGCCTGTGTGCCAAAGCAGCCGCAGCCAAAAACACATCAATGAGCCACATTGTGAGCCGCACACTGTAGTTTACTTCCCCACATACACCGTCCTGCGCTGTAAATACTCACCAGAGCACCAATTGTGTATTACATTGCAGTCAGAAATAGTCCTTGAACATTTGCTAAAACATAGTAGTTTTTGAGGCTTTGGAGTATGTTTTTGTGTAACACATTTTTTAAGAATGACATCTTCCCTAAGAATGACTGATTTTTGGGCTGAGTGTCACAGACAGACAGACTGGAAGTCATATTTGGAGAGCCACAATTAATTGTTGGTCTTCTCAAGGGATTTGTTGACAGTAAGACGAATATAGACTAACACCAGCCTCTTCCTTTAAACCTCTTATTTTACATTTGCTTATCAATAGATTGGAGCAGGAGCTTTTTCTGTTTTTTCCCCTAACACTGCAGCGTTAATGACATGAATGTGCTGGATTTGTCGGCCCGCTGAGCTGATTCTCTAAAGAGCACTGAATGCGTCTGAACCGTAACACTTCAGTGCTGTTTGTCTTAAGTGTTTATGTGAGCGTGTTGTTGAGGAAGAGCTCAGAGTGGATGTAAATGTGCTCACGTACAGAAGCATCAGGAAGGTGGCAGCAGACAGGCAGACAGTGAGCGTGCTCAACAGAAACACTCGCTGGTATTAACAGCTACCGCTGCTGCAGCGCCATTGACTCGAGCTGAACACAACTCTCGGCAGACAGCCAGCTCGGAGGAGTTAGGTGGAGACAGATGGTGAACCAGGCAGATGGGAAATAAGGAGGGAGAGGTTGAAGGATGAGTAGGACACAGAAAGAGGCTGACGGACTGAGGGGGTGATGATGGGTATGATAAAAACGGAAGGAGACAGTCGGCTGGATGGAAAGGAACAGGCGTTTTAGGAAATGAATAGGCTGACAGGTAAACAGGTCGAGAACGAGGCCGGTGGAGAAGCACGCAGGCAGAAAGACAGGGTGATAGCTGGTGTAGATGGAGAGAGGAAGCAGAGAGTGAGTGGTAAGAAAGGTTATAATGAAACCTGACAAGAAGTGTTTAATCGTATTTTATCTCCTCCTCTGCAGATCTGCTGCTACGGCACACAAAAATCCTGCTGTCATATTTAAATGGCTTCCGTGGATCTCTTAAAAAACTTTTAAACAACTCATAATAAATAAGTATATATGAAATAAATACATGAATAAAAAAGATTTCCTAAACTTGACTCAGGAGTATTAACACCCCAATTAAAGACATTTAACACATTATTTAGGTTTACTTTCTGATTTTCATGTTGATGCTATCAAATAAAATCTTATTTTTTTGTGCAAATAGGCATCTCCAAGTTCAGCTGAAGCCCATGTGAGGCTTTAGCAGTCTGAATGAGACAAACAGAAATGTTCCTTTTTTTTTTTTTTTTTAGCATATCGGGAATTTCTTGTCTAACTTGGAGCTGTCACATCATGTGCCTCAACAAAACAGAGAATACCTGAGGAGAGTATTAGGTGATATTACCCAACAGTCTGACATTTTAAGGCATGTTTGCGCCATAGACTGTTTAAAATAATAGATGTAGCCACTTTGACGTCACTGATTGGTTTGTGGACTCTATTATAAAGCCTCAAGTTTGGCATTTTGACCATCGCCATCTTGTTTTTTTGGAGCCAGAAGTGACTATATTTGGACAAGAGAGGGAGAACACTTAGTGTTAACTGCTAACTTAGCTATTCATTTATAGCCATGGTTAACTGTGATAATACTAATACTACTGCTTATTTTTATGAGCCAATAACTGCCTTAAAAATATTAAATCTAAACGTACAGTGCTTACTACAAAAACTGAACGTTCTCTTTTAGTACAACCAAACTTTTTTAGGCAAACAAAATGTTACAGTTAACTTTCATGAACAGCAAACACACCGAAACAGCAACAGATATGGCCATGCCCTAGGATTGCGGCATGGTTACGCCATGGAAATTTCCAATATGCTAATAAATAAATAAATAAATAGAAACATTTCTGTTTGTCTCATTCAGACTGCTAAAGCCTTAAACTTTGGCTTCAGCTTCAAGCAACATTGTTGCCGTGGTAGCAACTTGTCAACAGGCAGAACCCACCTGTCACAAAGGGCCACGTCCTTCATTATGTATAACTTTAAGCCTTAATAAAATGTAAAGAGTTATATAAAATTCATCCCCGGTACACTTGTCATGAATGATAAAATTAGCTATAAAGATCAAAACAGTTTTTTGTACCAGGCTGGTAACGTGTTAACTTCTGCTGTAAAGTTGGACATTTTAACATGAGGGTCTGTGGGAATTGACTCTGTTTTGGAGCCAGCCTCAAGTGACCATTTGAGGAACTGCAATTTGTGGCACTTTGGCTTCGCATTGTCTTAACATACCAGCCCAGGAGGTTGCCGCTTGGTTTCTTTGGTTTGTCACATCTTGTTAAAAACAAGATAAAATGATCCATCTATTTTTTTTTTTTTTTAGAAAATTGTTTTAAAAAGGTGAAAAGGAAGTAGGAGATACTTGCCTTAACTGTAGTGGCACAATTGTAACATGTACGTTTTTCTCTTGCTACATTATGTCAGCATGAGGTCATCATGTAAGTATGTGGCCAGCACTAAACATCCCTGTGAAATATCAACAGGATCCATCCACTCTGCATCCAGCAGCTCATTCATAACAGGTGTTACATTTTGCCCAGATTTGTGAACACATCTTAATTACGTAACGTGTATATTTATAATAATATGTATGTAAAACTATATATTCCGGCAGGTTGTCAATAAAACTTGCAAATATAAATGGACTATGTGGCTGTGGCATAGACCGTAAGGCTTAGAGATTTGGGGTGTTGCTTGGTTGACCCTCCAGGGGTCAGTGTGCAGTTACACACAGGCCTCCCCAAAAAGCATGTGCTCTGTGGTCAGTCAGATGTTATTCAATTCTTTTCTGATTTAGGTTAGAGTTGTACAGTGTTTTTGCAACTTCCATCAATCAAATTTGCTAACTATGTAGGTGTAATCAATGTATTTGCGAGCAAAGAAGGAAATGGATCCGCCACATTACATATATACACTCACCAACCACTTTATTAGGTACACCTGTTTAACTGCTTGTCAATGCAAATAGCTAAACAGCCAATCGCGTGGCAGCAACTCAGTGCATTTAGGCATGTAGAAATGATCATGACAACCTGCTGAAGTTCAAACCGAGCATCAGAATGGGGAAGAAAGGTAATTTAATTGACTTTGAACATGGCATGGTTGTTGGTGCCAGACAGGCTGGTCTGAGTATTTCCGAATTAGCTGATCTACTGGGATTTTCACACACAACCATCTCTAGGGTTTACAGAGGATGTTCTGAAAAAGAGAAAATATCCAGTGAGCGGCAGTTCTCTGGGTGAAAATGCCTTGTTGATGCCAGAGGTCAGAGGAGAATGGCCAGACTGGTTCAAGATGATAGAAAGGCAACAGTAACTCAAAGAACCAGTAGTTACAACCAAGGTCTGCAGAAGACCGTCTCTGAATGAACAACACGTCGAACCTTGAAGCAGATGGGCTACAGCAGCAGAAGACCACACCGGGTGCCACTCCTGTCAGCTAACAACAGGAAACTGAGGCTACAATTCACACGGGCTCACCAAAACTGGACAATAGAACATTGGAAAAACGTTGCTTGATCTGATGAGTCTCAATATCTGCTGCGACATTCAGATGGTAGGGTCAGAATTCGCCGTAAACAACATGAAAGCATGGATCCATCCTGCTTTGTATCAATGGTTCAGGCTGCTGGTGGTGGTGTAATGGTGTGGGGGATATTTTCTCAGCACACTTTGGACCCCTTAGTACCAACTGAGCATGGTTTAAACACCACAGCCTACCTGAGTATTGTTGCTGACCGTGTCCGTCCGTTTATGACCACAGTGTACCCATCTTCTGATGGCTACTTCCAGCAGGATAACGCACCATGTCACAAAGCTCAAATCATCTCAAACTGGTTTCTTGAACATGACAATGAGTTCACTGTATTCCAATGGCCTCCACAGTCACCAGATCTCAATCCAATAGGGCACCTTTGGGATGTGGTGGATATGTGCATCATGGATGTGCAGCTGACAAATCTGCAGCAACTGCATGATGCTATCATGTCAATATGGACCAAAATCTCTGAGGAATGTTTCCAGCACCTTGTTGCCACCAAGAATTAAGTCAGCTCTGAAGGCAAAAAGGGTTAAATTCATTTGCCTGAAGTTATTACATATGTAGGTGAAACAGTCTCTGAGTAAGAGTGAAAAGTGAAATATGTTACAGTTGTGGCGACTCTCCCCTACAGTATGTGTGCAATTTAGGAAATGCGCTATAAACTGGTCTGGTTCCCAAAATTCAGGAGGTGTTACAAAAGTCCTAAATTGAGTTCTCTTAAAAGAGCAAATACCTGAAACTTTCTCTCTCTGGCTTTCTCTTTTCAGCCCTGGAATACCATAATCTCAACACATCGATGGCAACCAAGAACTATTGGGTGATAACAGGTAAATTGCTTTTGCACTCACCCACACACACACACATACACACACATACACACACACACACACAAGTAAAGTGCTACTGGGTGATCAGCGGTAATCAAGAGCCGCATTGATTGGACAAAACAGCAGTTAGTTAAATGCCCTGGCGCTCGTTGTTGTGCAATTCAGCAGAATAGTATTGGCTCTCTCATTTTCCCTCCCTCCCCGTCTTAACATCCCCTCCTCTCGCCTGCTTGCTCCCTGGCCAGCCCGCTTACACTCTCTGTGTTCAGAGTGTCTTTAGCTGCTCTGTTCCTGGGAAAACCTATTGATGTATAATTCACAGCTTCCTGACTGGGGCAGAGGGAGAGATCACTTCACATCACATCATGGCCGGGTGTGAATGATGCTGAAGTGTGCTTGTGTGTGTGTGTGTGTGTGTGAAGTTGGTCCACATAGCCTGTAGTAAGAGACGCACTCAGGAGCAAGACTGATGCAAGCACCTGTGTGCATATGTGTTTTTATATGTGTGTGTTTGAGGTGGAGACACACAGTGTGTCGCTGCAGCTGTAATAGAAGTGTCTGGGTGAACAGCTTTTAAATGGAAGAGATCATCTCACCCTCTCTTATGTCCCACTCATCTCCCGTCTCTTGCTTATCTTTCCCTCTCTCCTCCCTTCTTCTCCGCATTATCCTGAAATGATTCCCTTCTGATATTTTCTCTCCTCTTCCATCTCCTTACTCTTCTTCCTCTCACATATCCCCTCCTCTCACCCAATCTCTCCTTCCCTCCCTCGTCTACTCTCCTTCTCACGTTGTCTTCCCCCTGCCATCCTCCATCCCTTCACCCATCTCCTCTTTTGCCCCTTTTTGCCTGCCTTAACACCTCTATACCCCCTTAATCCCTCGTCTGTCCTCTCTTGTCTGTCCTCACAGTGATCCAGGATGTGGACAGCTCCTCCCTGGAGGCTAACTACCAGAGCTTTGCCAGCCTGATGGAGCAGCGGCTGGCTGAGCTCTTCCTGGTGGCTGGCAGGCAGGGCTCTCGGATTGCGCGATCTCGGCGGGCCACCACTGTGGGGAGCTACACCGTGCAGGTGGGTGGGAAAAGGATGTTTGTGTGTCATTTAGTGTATAACAAGTGGTGATGGCAGGATTGTTTATGCTCATAAAAGAATCAGTTTGCACAAGATGATGCAAGAGTTTCACCTGTGCAAGGTGTAAGTTTATGATATGGACTCAGGTTTGGGTTCATTTGACCATATGTTGTCTATCCAGAAAGCCACTGGTTTCTATTTATCAATCAAGTGAACAATTTATCACCTGCATGTGTCCGTTAAACTAATCTTGTGCAATGTAGCTGAATGGGATCTAGTGAAATTTTTCTGGGGCTTCATAGAGAACAAACCACAAGTTGACTTTGCAGAAGCAACAGAGTCTACAGCCATGCTTGCAGCTCTGTGTGGTTGTACGTTCACTATGCACGGCAGGGATTTGTGCTAAATGCTAATGCCAGCATGGCAGCATGCTCACATGTTAACATGCTGATGTAGCAGGTGTAATATTTACCATGTGCATCAACCTAGTTTAGCGTGTTGGCTTGCTTACATGCATGAAAATACAGCTGTTACTCATGGGAGTGTCATTAGCTTTGCAGACAGTTGGTTATAAGCACATTCAAGACAGAATGAATTTCTGACCTCATTATGGTGCGAGATAAAAAGCCAGGAGAGAAATCTGTCCTCAGTGAACCATGAATGACCATATTTTGTGCCACCATATGTAGAGACTTAAAATAAGCTCATAAATGTGTGTATAGAATTGTATGGCAATCCATCTCATATGTATCAAGATATTTCAGTCTTGAACAAAATGGTGGGCATTCTGACCCACACCCAGTGCCATCACAAGGACCTTAATGCTGGAAGGATGGAGGATTTTTTAAAAAAAATATAAATCTTATGTCGTCTCTTGACATTTGCAGTATTGTTATGCACCAAATCACCAAGACAAATTCTGGGATCAGGTGAGGCTTATGATTAGCTTGAACTAACAAACTCTGGGCCATTAGTGAACATCCAGGACAGCTCCACATTCAGCACCCTGGACAGCACTGTTTTGTGAGCAAAGACAGTTTTGGAAACTCTCCTTCTTGGTGTGTTGAATAAAGCTTCATTGCCTGCAGACGAGTGCTCATAAATTAGATTGTCAGAAACATAAATTGAAAAAACACCCGTAAAATTGATTGTGGGAATTATTGCTGAAGTGATTAGTTGATTGATGCCTTTTTTAATCAATTACTTTTCAAGCAAAACTGCCAAACAAGCACTTATTCCAGCATCTTAATTTCAAGGATTTACTACTTTATTTTGTCTTATGTGAGAATAAACTGAATATCTGTGGGTTTTGGATTGTTGTAGAACAAAACCAGCAATTTAATGGCATCATGTTGGACTTGAACGAGAGAAATTGCCATGTATATTTTTCATTGTTTTCCAACATTTTAAAGACCAAACAATTAATCAGACCATTGAGAAAATATTCCGCAGAGCAATCGCTTATTACAATAAGCTGGTTGTAGCTGTAGAGCCATTTTTAAAATAGTTTCTTGTGTTAAAAAGGTTGCTGTGTGGGAGCACACTCCAAGTCTCGTCACGTCAGAGGGTTCTCAAAGCCAACCCTACTTTGCCACACAATCTCAGACTTCAAACATAATAAATAAATAGGCAAATTTATTAATAATAATTAGAAATTTGATTTGTATTTGATTTGTTTGTCCTGTTCTAGGGGAGTATGGTCATTTAAAATTAGGCTTTGTTAGCAGCAGATTGAGTTAGACGTGGTGAATAAAGATTTGGGATCGAAAGTATTTGAATTGCAGGTTCTCACAAGCACAAACGTCCAAAGGTTTGTGTGTATGTCATGTTCTGTATATGTCAACTCCGTGCCCAGTGTTCCATATTGTGCAAATTAAGACAGCGATTGACTTTTGCTGGGCTTTACGCCTTATACAACCTCAAGGTTTTATGGGAAGTCACAGATGACTAGCTTTATGGCTGCAGAAATGGAGGAGACTGGAACAGGCTTACGGCGAGGGGGGGTTCAGGGGGACGGGTTGCAGAGAGGGGAAAAATCATGCAGCCATTTAATACCATACATCCCTTCATTTTATGACAAAATCAAATTACCAGACTTGATTAAACTGTGTGATGTGTTCGTCAAATTAAAAAAAAAAAAGTGTTTGATGTATGATGAAAGGAAATTGAGATTTCAAGTGACTCAGTTATCCTCGAGTGTCTTCCCCAAGTGCTGTTATCTTGCAGCAAATGGTTCGTTATGATCAAAGCAGCCAAGCTGATTCGGAATTTTGATTGGGCCACTGTAGATGTAGCAGGGATTTTTAATCTGTTGGTGTGGACAGATAAAGGATTGTGTATTCAGTCTGGCTATAGATGTTATGTTGTGCTGATATTCTCAATGTTCAAAATAAACTATGATTCTTTTGAACAAATTACTCTACAGTGAATATATATAGTGGTATTTGTGTGTGGTGATAGAAAAAAGTTGTTTTTTTCTAGAAGAGCTTTTATCAGATTGAGATATTGGACACTTTATTTGTCCTCTTCCAGATGGTGAGCATGCGTCGACTGCCTGGTCCCAAGAACCCAGCAGAGATGACCTACTACGCCCAGTTGAACGGAGCACCCATCACTGGATCCAATGCTGCCAAGACCCTGAGCAGTCTGGACTCCCAGACCATGGCTCTGACACTGGGATACTTCGTACAAGTACAGGCTGAACGTAAGCTTGTTATCTTTCTGTACTTAGTTATGTTACATTATTATGTATCACATGTGTAAAGGATCAAGGAAGTCAGGCACAAGAGACAAGGGATGCACCATCTGTGAAATTATGTGCCGATACCAATATCCAATGTGTTTTTTGTTGTTGGTTTTGTAGTTATTTTTACAAGATTATATTTGAACTCATCATGGGAACGTTATAATTTACCTTGCCCAATACTCTTTTTTTTTTTTTTTTTGTCTTTTTACCAACGAGAACTAGAACGCATCACAGTGTGACTCAATCCAACTGTGGCAATTAGTTTGGGACACTAACTAGCTCACCTCCTGCCAAGTTCAACACAGATTTGTTGTTTAAAGGGTGTTATTGCCCCAGATGTCAGATTCCATGAGAGATACTTTAACCCTTTGAAACCTAGAGCAACATCACTTTTCTTGCTTCTGCTTTCAAAATGTGGGAAAAGAAATGGGAAAAAGTAAGAAATGTCCCACAAATTGAAAAAAAAAATACTAATAATAACAATAATGATAATAAAAGACTTAGAAAATGATTTATAAAAAACTTTATTATTATTATTATTATTATTATCTTAAAATTATGTTACAGAATTACTATAATTTTTAAGCACACTTTCCAGGTTATTTTCTTGTTTGTTTTTAACTTTCTTTCTTTTTTTAAAACATCTTTTTGCTAATTTCTTTTTGCTAATTTTTTGAGTCATTTTTTCGTTCATGCTCATTGTCTTCTTCCCATGATTTTAAAAGAAATCATTTGCTCAGGTTTCAAGGGGTTAATGTGGTTATAAACAAAATTATCAGGGCAAAGTGATGCAGCTCCATGGAAACAATGCTGTCAATAATGTCAATATGAATCCTTTGTTGTGGTGGACACAAATTGCTTCAACAGCATCTCGCAATGGGTGGCCGTCAACATGTTATTTAACACATCACGTGTCACTGCCGTGTAATGCGATCATATTATTCTAGCTTACTAGGAACTGAGGCCTACAGTGACATAACTACATCTAAGAAAAGGGAGAACATTACCATTCGCTAAATAGGTTTTTCCGACAGATACATGATGCTGAGAAATTGTTCGGCACATCTCTTTGTAAAATAAATATATATTAATGATAATGTTCTAAATCAATGCATAGTTTATTAAAATGAAAAATAAAATATACATTCTGCACTTCTCCCACGGTGATTTATACCAGCTATAGAAATAATTTGCATGAAATAGGACTCTTTCTGTTTGCCTTTTGCATAATTACACACATATTAATACAGATTTTTTTTCCCTTTTTTTTTTTTTTTTGCATTTAGCTATTATGCAAATGGTTGTGCACATATGTGTACAAACATATTTATCATAAATGCAGAGCCAACTCAAAGAGTGCATTCCTCATTTAGCAATCACTATAGAGACACTGCACTGCAGGAAAAAAATATTCCTATTTTAACTACACTTTTAGATTTATCAAGTGCAACAAGCTACACAATGTACACACCGTGACATTGTGTAGCTTTAAGGATTTTCATACATTTCCATAATGCCCTGCAGTATGCATCCAATAAGCTTCAGAATATCAATACAAATTCAAAGTCACAGACTTAAAATTAAGGATTGTTTTTCCACACTTACCTGATGTTTCAGAAGGTTGCAGTTGGGTATATTATTGTATTAGATGTTTATATTGTTGCTGCTGAATGCTGATGAGGACAAAGTGTTCCCTCTCACCTCTTCTCCCTCACGTTTCCCCAGATTCTATAATTAACAAACTGGAGCGACACCAACAACCGTCAGCGGCCTTCACAGCTCCTCCTAACACTCAGGCTGAAAACTGAACACACAGTGTTCACAGTGTTCTTGTAAAATTCAGTTAGTTTGCCTTAAGAGGCTCCAGTGAAATAAACTGCATTAGTCCTTCAAGTGAGAGCACATCCCTTTGGCACTCTGCATTGTAATAGAGGAGCCCTGAAGAGGTGATTTTTATGGAAGATGTTCAAGTGGAAAACTTTAGGTTCAAATAAGTTTTTTATTTTGTACTTATAAGCATAAACAAGATGTAGATTTCAAGTCTTTTATAGCATTTCTGTCTTCAGTATGCAATGTTTATACAGTTGAATTGAATAGATGAGATTTTGGGAAATAAGGTTATTTGCTTCCTTGCTGAGAGTTTGATCAGAAGATTAACGACTCTCATGTCTGTGCACTAAATATGAGGCTACAGCCAGAAGATGGTTAGCCTAGCTTAGCACAAGGAAACAGTGGGAAGCAGTTGGCCTGGCTCTGTCCAAGAGTAACAAAGTCTGCCCCTCCAGCACACAGAAAAGACAAAAAAAAAAAACAACTAAAGTATGTGGATGATGAATGCTATTTCCACCATTTTATATATTTATATCAATCATAGAAATAACACAGTGTTATATAATATGTCATATCAGGCTCCACATTTATGATGAATAGTAATGTAAATGCTGGTAAATTGCCTTACTTAAATTTTCTTTAGACCTCATGCCTCATGATAGACTGTTATCGTATGTGCATCTTCACTAAAAAGAGCACTGTCTCTTACTGCCATATCTAATATTTAATATTTGATTAATTTCTTACATATTTATAGGTAAATGTTGATTTAAAAACATATTGATTAAATATGTTTTTTCCCCTACAAAACCCCCCTAAAAACTTGCTAATGAGTTCGCAGTATTTTTTCGGCCCTGAATAGTTTCTGCAGTCTTGCTTCACCTATCAGAGGGTCAGTAACCAATAAACTGTATGCATGCCTCCATGGTGAACGGAGAATCCAAAAATGTAGACAGATTCTGATTCTCTCACACAATCCATGGAGTATAATTCAAACCTTACTTATTCAGTGAGGTAAAATTACTGTTTTTGTGAATGGAGTCTGGCTTTGAAGAGAAAACAGAGTTCCATTCAGTTCCTGGTTGGAAAGGGCTTTCTGTTTGGGAAGCACTGTGCAGACGACTGGATAAATTAGACATGAATTATACTGCATGAGTGAAAGTTTGTAAATAGATGTTTTAATATAGTTTTAACATCCCCTTTTACTTTATTTCATCAAGAATTTTCTCCATTTTTGGATTCTTTGTTCACCAGAGGCATGCAAAAAAAACAAAAAAAAAAAACAAACTCCAAAAAATCAACTCAACACGGGATAAATAATTGATATACAAATGATCATTAGGGGGTGAAGCATTCCTTTAAGCTTATTGCTATTGCTGTGGGCCACAGTAAAGATTAAAGGCGACTCAGAAAAGTGTTGTAACATTTTAATCAGCTTAGAAATGAGTACTGTAAATCTAACTGAAACTATAAAAGTGAGAGCGGCCATCCCCAGAGGAAATCACGCCCTCATTTGTACAGATAAAGCAAACCACATACAAAGTGTTTTAGTTTTAGCTTTGGATGTGTAAGAGGGCTGAACTTTCTTCTAACCAAGGCTAAGCTAAGATTACCTGCTGACTGTAACTCCATACACAGCATACAAACATGAGAGTGGTGTCAGTTTTCACATCTAACTCTCAGCAAGAAAGCGAATCAACATGTTTCATCCAAATGTCGAACTGTTCTTTGAACTGTGTACAGTTGCTGAACAGCGTGATCTGTGGTGGTGTGTTTGTAATCACTGGAATGTCATTTAATGTCTAAATTACTGATACTGAGGAATAATATTTGTATGTTTGCAGCTGTGGTAAAGACGCCGCAGAGCAACCTGTGGATCATGGCCATTCTGACGCCTCTCTTCCTGTTGATGGTGGTGATCGGCATGGTGTCTTTCATTCTGTGTAAGAGGAACAGGGTCATCTTCAAAACTGGCGCCTTCAGGACCTTCAAAACCCGCTCCAAGGTAAGACGGTTAAAATAAATTGTCCAACTTTATCCCTTTCTCCTTCTGTTCCTTTCCATCTTCTTTTTTACTTTCTACTCTTTGTTCTTCCTGTCCTTCTTTCTTTCTTCTTCTATTCAAAATAATCAGCTGTTGCCTCACTCTTGTGGAGTAAAGTCTCACCCCAAATTGTTCGAACGTCACTGCTTCACCTCAATGTGTCCACAAGCCAATTCTGCGAAACAAAGATTACGTAACCTGACCCTGAAATGAGTGACGCATCACACAGCAAACTGATTGTGTTATGTTGTGTCTCCAGGTCAGAAAAATGTAATCCCATCTGTGAGGGCCTCACTCATTTGTTTCCCCGCTGCCCAATAGCCCATGGTCATTGCTAATCATGCATGCTTTGAAGACTAATCGGCCAAGAAGAAATGGGCAGGGCTCAGTGTACTGGAAGTGAACCTTAGGGTAATGTTGGCCCTTTCACAATAATAGTGCTCGCTCAACATCAGCTCATTTGAGGTTAAATAAAAATCAATCATTTCCAGTGAGCATGTGTGGAATAGATTGCCACCAGCTGGTTTGATCAGGTTGGATTGTTCTTCTGGACACAGCGCAGTGCACGACGCCAGAACAACAGCTGCTTGTGTCACTGCAGCCAGTGAAGTGGTAAACAAGCAATAAGCCGGCCAGCCTCATTTGTTCTGAAGAGGCTCTTGATGTGGCTCGGCTTTGTTCAGAATTCCACAATCTTGAAGTGTGTTTCACATCTGATATCCTGATTAGACTTCCACTCCAGTGAGAATTCCTGTCATTGGCTGCACATTCACTCTGGTTGAGGTCTTATTCAGGTCAAGCTGTTCACACAAACTTTTGATGCCCAGCAAAGGAATCTCCCTAATGTTATGAATAAACCAAAACACAGAATATTTCTTACGACTTAAAAGCTTTGACCATCAGTGAAATATTCCCTCCTTGACTGAGCAGTAGTAGAAAGAACTCTCTCTACAAATATCTGCACAATGTTTCTGAAGCTCATGATGGGGCAAATAATTATAGCTATTTAGCCTGAAATCAGTATATACCCATAATGCAGTGCTGTTCTGTGTAAGAAAACCAAAAGCGCAGTAGTAAGATGAGTTGATGCCATAGTAACTGGTGTTGTATGTGTAGCTGTAAACTGGGAGTTCTCACCATCTTTTTGATTTACTGAATTTGATCAAATTTGAATATGTTAAAGGGACAATTTACCCCAAAATCAAATATACATATTTTTCTTCTTACCATGGGTGATATATTTATCAGTCTATATTGTTTTGGTGTGAGTTGCAGAGTGTTTGAGATATCAGCCGTAGAGATGTCTGCCCTCTCTCAAATATAATGGCACTAGGTAGCACTGAGCTTGTGGTGCTCAAAGTCTAAAAAATACATTTGAAAAACTCAACAGCAATGTCTCTTTCCAGGAATCATGACCCGGTTGTTAAAGATAATCCAGACCTTAACCCTACAGGCCCGAGCAACGCATAGTGCATCCAAATTCACACCTGTTCTTCTCTATGGATTTTCTCCGCAACCGTGCGTCATAGCGAGAAGCCACGCATATCACGTGAAACAACGGAATCGTAGCTTTCCGAGAAGACCTTTTTAAACCAAAAAGGTTTCGCCAATATGACTACCCTACGAGGCGGAAAATTGGGCACCTCGGATCAACTCGCCAATCCGGCTCTGTGTGTCTAAACACTTGCAGCTTGCCTGCAAAATGGCCCAACATTCGCCAAAAATCTGGCAGTGTAAAAGGGGCTTTTGTGTAGGCACAATTACAGCTAGTATTATATGTTAAGTTGAACTAGGAAGTTGGTCTGTAAACTGTAGGGAGACTCTCAATGAACGTCCATAACCTGCAAGACAATGGTCATGTGACCGTGGGGGTTAGGGTTAATCTGTTTGTGTGTTTGCTGCCAGCTGACCACTACTCACTGTGCAAGCTATGACGTTATCTCTAGACCACACTGGCTGTGGGTCTGACAATGTTCCTCATGTAGTTTTAATTAAAAAATGCATCAGTGGATAAACTTCACAGGGTTGTTTTCTTTGTACATTCAGGCATTCTAACAGAGCTGGTCTGAGTCTTTAGCTGTCACATTGAATAATTTGAGGGGAAAACACATTAGTGAGCCACACTATTGCAATGGGTGATACGTTCCCTTATTACAGTACCATGAACATGTGCATTTAGTTACTTAGTTTAGTTTATTTTGAGGCAATCCCCACAAACACCATCATGCTGCCATAACTACAACTAGAGCACCAAATGTTTATTAATCTCACGTTGCCAGACCTATCTCCGGAGCGCTGTGTCAGCACCACAGAAAGGTCTGGTCTTTAGGGGAAAAAAATGCTCTGGGTTGTTTGCATTTTCTAAACCAATCTAAATTGTCTTGGGCTGCTCTAAGCCCAGGATGCAGGGATGGTGTCCTTGCAAAATGGTTGCTTGCAGATAGTGGAGGGAGTGGAGAATGCTGGCTGAAATAGATAGCCAATGGCAGGGTTATACCCACAGTTTGGGTATAAAGAAAAGTGTTTTAATCCACAGATGAAAACAGTCTCCAGCAAATGCACAATTTTCTTTTTTTTCTTACGTCTTCTTATGTCTTCAGTAAGAATCAGTGGGTTTGGGTCTGACTGGCAAAAACAATGTAGGGAGGTTGAAAAATTTTGGAGAAACAAACTAACTTGTTGGTTTTGGTTTATTCATAGGATTTGTTGACAATAATTAAAAAGAAAGAAAACATCACATTTACCTTTTAAAACCTGTCTAATTATCTGACTGCTCGTGTTTCTTGCCCAACCATACGTTGTTTTAGCTATTTCACAATCTATGCAGAACCCAGCTATTAATTTGGTGAGTATGGTGTTAGTAACACAGAGAAGAGTGATGGGCAAACTATGAAAATTGGATGCATCCTATCCTATCCTATCCTATCCTATCCTATCCTATCCTATCCTATCCTATCATTTTGCAATCTCCTCTGTTCTGTTCTGTTATTTTATCAGCCCCTCCCTGACCTTGTCCCTCTAACTCTCTTCCTGTTTAGACCTCATATCGAAGGGAGGGCAGTTACCACCACCAGGTATTCACTAGATTCTGGTTGGGTGGATTACTGACTGACTAAATTAATGCAGTAATGAATGAATGAGTTACTGCAGTGTTTGCTGGTTTTGACTGACTGATTGTGTTGAGCAACTTTGTATGTGCTGCCTGTCGCTGTTGCTGGGTAAATCTGTGCATGTGGCTTCTGTGCTGTGGACATGACTTATTCCACCATCCTCATTGGCTACGGGAGATCAATAGAGGGAGAGAGGAGGGGGTAGTGAGGAAAGGTAAAAAAACAAAAACTATAAAAGGGGTGTAAAAATCACAAGCACATTCCTTAAGATTTAAATTGTTTGGGTTGGAGTCGATTGGCTGAATTAACAAGGACAGGCTAGCTCGTAAAAACAAGCAAATGAGCTGAGTTCTGCTGGCCGGGAGAAGCCATTTTTAAGCGGGGCTCATAAACATGAATAGTGGAAGGGAAGCTCAAAACCTGCGAACCAAACCAATCTATTTTTATTTTGTAGCATCCATAAAAAGTGACTCAAGCTTGTGTCATCAGCCGAGACTGCCTCTCTGCCAGTTCCTTTCCCTTTCAAGCCAGTCGTTTTATCCTCTCAGATGAAGCCACTCTCATCCCACAGTGGCTCAGCAGGAGCCCTGCATGGACCCCCAACCCAACTCTTTTTTCATCCGAGGTTCTCCACTGAATTATGTACTTTATCATGGCTAGACCCAAAGCAGAGCACTGGCCACAGACAACAGATTAAAAAAAATGCTAAAACGCTTTGAATTACAAAGAACCATGCAGAGGCTGTCCCTGTGGTTACTGTTGCTGTGGTGGAGCATGTCAGCTGATCTGCAGGTTATTTTGGGCCAGTCTTTCCCATCCTCATCTCCCAAGAGGCAAAGTGAGGTGAGCAAAGGATGAAGGAATTGGCAGGACATTTTTGTAATGGAGAAAATGGAGCTAATGTTACAGCACAGCAGGGTGTAAACACCCTGAGTATATGTACATGATGTGTCTGTGTTGTCCCTGCTCGACTGTATCGGCTCATACTGTGGTATTATATTAACATTAAGTTTCCAAGCTCTAAGGTTTTATTTGCTTTACAATCATTTGTAAACATTTAACATCACTTATGTAGTGTTTCATGAGAGAGCGCATCAAATATTAAAGAGTCCTGAAATATGTGATTTCACAAGTGGTGCCGTGAGGCTACAATCACTGTTCTTATCCACAGTGGTGTTTACCCTCTTCCAATCCCAAACAGTGGCATGCATGAGCAAATGAGATAAATATTTCACACTGGGATTACGTTAGGGAAGAGCTTGTGGCATTGTGGCAAACTGGAGTTAAGTACTTCTAGCTGATTAAAGCAAAGGTTAAAATGCTTTCAAGTCTATCTTAATACAAGTCTCACTTGCCTACACGTGCTTGGAAAGAGTTAGTGGTCGCTGTAATTGGTCCTACTGTCCTCTTCATTTTCCAAAGTTTCTGTCTTTTTAGTACACAGTTCCCTCTCTCTGTGTTGCTCATCAGTGTTGAGCTGAGCTGCAGGGGAGGCATAGTAAAACAAGGCAACTGTAAAGACTGTAAAGTTGTAAGATGCTTCCTTTGGCTTTAGCACTTTAATTTTGATTGGGCCGTATCAGAATGCATTTTTGCACATAATGAGCACTGTGGATTTCGACCGCAATTTCTTACACCCCATATCCCTGGGAAGTGATTAATTTGGTTGCAGGTGCAGAAAAAAGCACCCTTTGGACCACACCCAGCATCACTCATTGATGTAGTTGATTGATTGTATGTAAGGATTGACAACACGTCTCCACTTTCTCCCACTGAACAAAAATGAATCCAAAATATCCTGATATGGCAGCTGCCACCTTTGTCATTTGGAGCCACATTCTGCGCAGTAGCGATTGGGAAGGGGAGCTGCAGTGTCTAGTTGCCGCCCATACACCTGTCTGCCACAGTCATAAGCAGTGACAATGATTGTGAGCACACCGATTGGTGCACACAGCTGTCAAATATGACAACACACCCCCTATTTACAGCATTGAATAACCAATTAAATCCAAACTTAAAAAAATATATCAACGTGAGAAGAACTATCTAAAATGACAGAGACCATCTTTGGGATTTTTTTTTTTTTTTAGTTTGGTCCATGTCCCATCCACTAACATGAAGGGAGCGTGGTTTAGGACCTATGCTGCAGCCAGCCACCAGGGGCCGATTGAGATGTTTTGGCTTCACTTTTTTGCAAAATCTTTATACTTTATACAGTCTATATATGAAATAGACTTTCCCTTTTTGACTAAAGAGGGCAGTTAAACATTGCTTTTGAGCCTGGTGTTGAATTATCCTTTAAATTAAATTTGAAAAAATGTGAACTTATCCTTTAAGCTCTATGGCCCCATCAGCACCGGGTAACATGTGACCTGTGTCTGGGTATGTTATCTGGATAATGATATCCATTCAATACGCCTAAGCATTTACACCTCTTACTATTAATAAGCATGTTTTACAGATCATGTTTTGTCTTAAAATAGTCACTTTGGTGGGTGACTGCATTTTGTGTCACTATCTTGGCAGGAAAAACAGTGATAGGTCATCAAAAAACACTCAGGCTTGGTGCCTATAAAGCTGCTGGAAACACAGCAATGACTCGCTAAATGACAACCACTGACAATTGACAATTGTTTGCCAGTCTACAAACAGTGGTCTGCAGCTTGGCAGACATCTCGCCCAGGTGACACGCCATCCACTATCCCCTCCTGCAGGTGACAAAGTCAACTCATACACTCGGTCACTTTAGAAATGTTGATATGAAACATATGAGACATGCAAATGTAACTTATCTGTGGTTTGCAGAAACATACCAATCCAACATTTACCCCTGGAAACTGATCTCAATATGGAAATTAGGGGCTGGCAGACTTGTGAACAAACAGCGCATGACATCATGTGAATACTAACCAGACCTAAGCAAAATAATAGACTGCATCAAGTTGATCTACTGTGTGCATTTGTGTGAACTGCTCCCATCCCACTCGGCAATCAGTCACCTTGCAGATAAAGCAGCTGATCAATACACTGGTTTATATTAGGTCTGCATGTGTGTTTAAGCATTAAAGAGAGATTCTGCAGAGTCTGACTGACTTCATCACTCTGCAAGTCTGCTGTGCAGCTGGAACATTCTTCAAAATGGCTTTTCCTCCCTCTGTGCCTTCTTGTATAGGCATGAAAGCCTCAGATAGCCGGCTTCTGTGTGGAGTACAATAGAGGTGGAATCAGCAAAAGTCAAGGCAATCCATTTTTCATTTGTAAGGTGTTCAATGAAAGTACAATGCAGTGGCTGCCATTTAAAGGACTCGAGGTATTTAGCATTTTGCTGCATCATGCCCCATACCTGCCCCAGGAGGAGTTTATCTAACCGCTGCAGAGTCATGCTGATGTGCACCCCAGTCTACCCTGCTGTGTGTCTTATTTTACTTCTAAAATGTGCCCACTCTTCAGGCCGTTTTTTTGCATGCAGCTCTGTGGTATGCTTCCACTATTCGCCCTGCTAGAGCTGAATTTAAATCAATATGGCCACAGGGGGAATAGAGCATATCTCGTCCATCTGCTGTACCTCATCAAGCTGCTGTTGGCTGTTGCTCTGAGTTAAAATTAGACAAGAGGAGAAACTTCTGTGTGATAGTGCAGGCAAGGAAAACAAGTGCAGATAATTTGGCGGTGCAGCAGGGTCGTGCTCGCAGTCACTTCACATGACATCTTTCAGTGAAAGAAATGGCTGGGCCCGTGTTGCCATCTTTCTCTCTTCTCTCCTGCTCTTTTACTCCGTCACTGTTCTAAATTGACGTGGAGAAAACCGCCATCCATCTCTGACAGGCTGATCAGAGGTTCACGCCGTTCCACGAGCCGTGTCCACAGCCAAAGTCTTCATTAAACTGAGCTGCTCACAAAAGATGAAAGATGGCGATTTGTTAAGTCAACATGCTGTCAGTAGACAGTGAAGGAGAGGGAGAGGTGGTGGTGGAGATGGGGGGAAAAGGAAGAAGAGGCAGGGATAAATAGGAAGGAAGGATATGTGAGTGTGAACAGAACAGACAGAGAAAGAGAGAGACCTTGAGCCAGCGCAGTAAAATACAAGTCGTGAAATGTCAGGCGCACTTTTCAAGGTTACACCCCTGGGCCCTGTCATTTCTGAGAATCCATACTGTCTCCATGCATGACGGCCATTACCCACCAGCTACTAAATGACGCATCTTTTATAGTCAATGTGCAGTAACCGTCAGGTCATCACTGTCAGTTCAACACCCCTGACACTATGTCTAATGTTTGCTCCTCAATAGTCCATACACATAATGCATATTGGTGGAGGGATATATTTGGAGCATTTTATTCACCGCCTCCCTCCTCCCTCGCCTGCTGCCCTTTGTTCGCTCGTCATAAATACACACACACACGCACACCCACACACACACACACACACACAGCTAAACTCCTCCTCAACCTGGGAACAGCACGAGGCCATAGGCAAATGAGTGTTTGCACTCTACATACATCTTTCACACGATAGAGTCACAGCTGTCAACATACATCACTTTAGTGGGTAAAAGGTGCACGCACATTCACGCTCAATCCGTATATTCATGCCACGGTAAGAGGGCCAGTCCCCACTCTCTCTCTCTCTCTCTAACGTTTGTGTGTGTTCTATATGTATCAATTTCCCGAAACTCATCCACGGCTGCAGCCACGTGCACTGGAGCTAGTTAATGGCACAGCGGTGTGTATAACTGATGAATTATTAACCATGCTGTCAGCCGGATGCCCACGCTGCCTAACCTCACATGCACTCAGAATTTAGCATGCATCATCAAATGCATTAGGCGTCCCATTTTAGAGCCGCTCAAAATAGAAAAGGGGAGGCAAAAAAAATCAGGGTTTCGTCTGCTTTGTTGTGTAACCTAAAAAGGGTTTTCTCTCCTTTTCCCCCCCTCGTTCTCTATTCCGTAAATTGAAAGGCATTTAGCAATACAAAGAATGTGTCCAAGCCTGGGAGGCTTTAGCAAAACGCATCTTCTGCTGCCTTTCTCTCTTTGTCTCTTTATGCCAAAACCCCTGACTTCAAAGGTGCTGTTAAGCTTTATTATTTATTTCTTTTCTGACTTTTTCATTATGCCAGCCGTGGTGTTCACTGACTGATAAAAACTGGTTCCGGGAGGGAGGTTCATCCAATTACCTTTATCTGAAATGGAAGCAACGCTTATCTGGAGGTTTTTCTTTAATATTCAGGAGACCATGTCATGTTAGCTGTAAGCAACTCTGTCATCCGTTCAGCTGTCCAGCACTTCAGCTGGGCTGAAAATCTAAATGCTACACTTTGAAGGACCTGCTGCTGATCAGATCTGAGGCACAACAGACTTAATCCATTTGTTGCTTTTTTGTTGCTGTACTAAAAGGTGGTTTGGAATGTGTGTTGTTTTTTTTTTACCCATTCAAATGAACACAGTCCCGAACCTGTAGATATTCACTCGCTTGGGGACAGGCCTTCCCCGCTTTTCTACGGTTCGGCCAAAATCTGTGAGAAACAGGAAACCTGTGGTGTGAAGCCAGCTAACGCCACACAGCAGGTTAATATTCATAAGTCCAACTAGGCTGTGATACATTTTTACCAAAAATTCATCAAATAGTTGGAAAAATTCTGACTCCAAAAATGGTGACCTCAGCTTTCTTTAAACACAGTGCTCACTTACTGCCAGTGATAAAAAACAAAACAAAACAAAAAACAGTAAAGTAAAAACACATCAATGTAAAAATAAATTGTCAAATCATTCATCAGGAAGAACTGTCAGTGTTCTACTATTATATAAAGTGTATTTGATTTGTTTTTGGCTGATATTTTAGTATATCCACAGATAGATGCATAACAGTTCACTTGAATACATATATGTAGGTATGTTTAAAGATGGCATTCCATCATGCTGTAAGCACAACTGCATTTCAGTCATTAGAGATAAGTGAATGTAGTAAATATAATTGTTTATCACAGATTACAGGTGTACAGATTAACAGATGATATGTGATATTAAGATTTGACTGAAAGACTCTACAGGGATTTTTATTTACTAGGTGTCTGCCCTGAGCAGCAGCAAGATAAATCTCCTCATGGAGTCCAGATACTTTTGGTGGTAGTGGCTGATGACTCTACTGAGACTGATGGGGCTGATGAGGCTGATGAGTCTGCAAAGACCAGGCGGTGATAACAGGTGGAGCCTGTGCACAACTGCAGCATGAATGTTGAAACTGTATTTTCACAAAGCAGAAAGGTCATTGATTCAGCTTGTCACATTGCCAGTGGCTGGTTTTAGAATGTGAGGTATACCACCTATCTCAGCAGCCAATCATATTGTAGCAAAGTCAGCTGCTCAAGTCGGTTACAAACGATTCGCTGTTTTGTTAAAGCAATAACAGACGGCTCCAAATCCTCAACCCTCCTGTTTTTAAAAAAAATGTTTTTGACATTTTCGCTGCTTTTTGCCATTTTTTGTTGAGAAATTGTTATTCAGCATTTTCTCAAAATATCTTGGGAAATAACATTCACACTATGTGCATCTGTCCACTATTGTGTGCTTTGATTGTTGAATTTATCTTGTGGCTCCATACCATTTTAAAACTCTCTTACCAACATTAGCTACAGTTCACTGTACTTTGCTTTGCTCTTTGGAAACATACATCATGGTGCTGAATGTATTTTGTGGCTGCTTTATCACTCATTGCTCTTTATTGTGGCATATAAATTACATTGATTTACAGTATAGCACTTACCAGCCTGTGCTATGACGTAAAGATGCAAAACTGTACTGTACTGTGGAATTCGACTGTATCTTGTGTTGCCTTTTGCTGTCTTTGCATGTGCTGTATGTCCCCAAAAATGCTGCTTGTTTTAATGCAAGCAGTTGCTTTTTATCAATCCGACAGGCAAACTAAAAACAAAAGATCTTAACACAAAAACATATAATTTCTGAGTTATTCTGAAATAGATAAAAGCTGTAACAACTGAGTGCATCTTTTTAGCCTATTAGTTTGTTATCTCCAGAATTCAGTTCCTGATTGGATTGATCTAGAAGCTGCAGTAGCTTTGATCTTCAATCAAGGGTTTTCTGACTCCTTGTTTGTGTTTTCCTTTTTCCTGCCAGCCTGTCCAGGGCTTTGACTATGCCAAGAAGCACATGGGTCGAACAGGTGATGAGGCCATCTCCGTTACCAAGGAGACGTTGGTGCTGGGGCTGCCTGTACGAGATGCTCCGCTGTCACTGTCATTGGATAAGAAAGTCCATCAGGATGGGACCGCCAGCAAGAGGCCTCCATCTGCTGACATACACAAAGGAGGGTAAGGCAGTCACTGGCTTTGCTTGTATACGCTATTATTTGTTTGTTTTGGATCAGTATAGTAGTTTATAGTAGTACGGTAGATCACAATTTGAATTGATATGTCAGATATGATGAAGTTTGTTTTTTTAGGTATTATTTGTAGATTTCAGTTTTCTAAGAAACCCTTGACCTGAATTAATTCGGTTGTGGACATAACATAACATTAGTTCTACCAGACTTTATACCGTCTGTTATTAACCATAAAAGTGTTGGCAAAGTGTTTCCTTCTGGTACACATGGGTCTAAATAAGCATTTGTTTGTTTTGTCAGTTGTGTTTCTGGCTGAATGTTACATTCAATGTTCGTGCTCCTTTTACCTCTGTTTTGGTCTCCACCTGTGAGACGTTTCTGTTTTTAGCTTGGCAGGTAGTGTACTACAGTAGATTCCAGAGCTTTTTCATTGAGATTAGCTGCTTGCTGCTGAACTGAACCAAAACACTGCCGTTGTGGCCGTAAAACTAAAACTATTCACTAAAAAATATGATAGCGTTCCGTAGAGCTGCAGTCAGTGGTAATTCTGTGTGTTTGTCACTACTGACACCTTTCATGTCAGACATAGTCACCATTATTCATATAAATATATTAATTTACACAATGTTAAAGCTTTTTTAAATTAATACTAACCAAAAACATTGTGATTGGTGTCAGATTTGAAATCCAAATATTGTTTGCCATGATTTCGTATTGAAACAGAACAACAGCCCTAAACTGTTCCATCACACTGCTGACATCATGATATATTATGCACTCTAAATGTGGATGTTTGGGCAAAGCCTGCTCATTGAAGTCATCCATTTGGCCCGTGATTCAGCGCAGGTAGAGGGCTGAAATAATGAGCTGATCAGACAGACTGTTCCCAGCTGGAGGGCTTGTGAAGGGGAACCACAAAGTTCTGGAACAGCTGTTCCAGTCAGTGAACAAGCCGGCGACACAACCCTGAGCTTTTCAGCAGGACCAGACATCAATGTTTGTGCATCACAGTGTTGAGCTAGAGAGAAGCCAACAGTAAGCAGTGCAGCCTCTGACAGATTGACTTGATCTGAAGATAAGTCCAGTGTTAACAAGAAGCTGTTTGGAAACAGTAAGAATACAAAAAGCATGTATTTACATGCAAATCCTGTCGGAACAAATGACTAGGTTTCAAGAGCTGTTGATTTGAACAGTGCTGAGACTGGTACACAGACCAAAGGAGAAGTTAAGGTGTCTCTTAGAGCAATTCAGCATGAATAGATAATTGCAACAGTAATTTTGAGCTGTTAACAGCATAACACCTATTTGAGCCGTGTCTGACACACATCTCCGGGTGGGCTGGAGGGATTTCCTTCAAGCAGAAAGAGGCCGTGAAATATAACAGGTTATGATTATATATGTAAATAACTGTGTCTGCCTGTTCTTCACTGATGAACAGGATGCAATCAGCATGGGGAACAGATTTTACTGCAGATTTGACACCAGAGATTTAAGCTAGAAAGAGACAGAAATGATCAACAAGTTTTGTCTGTAAGAACTTGCTATGAGTGAGAGGGTTATCACTGGCATTGATTCAAACTACCAGTTTAATTGACGCAAGCCTCATGATAGATCTGCTGGACTCAATGGAGCTAGCTGTGTAATCTCATGTGAACACAGAATGACCACTGCAGTGTCATTTCCATTATATATCATAAATATTGCGCTGTCTATCAACTGTTAGTATGCGTTTAAACAGCCTTAGCCACTGTAGCTGCTGTGGAAAAGCTGCTACATCATGTCCAATATGACTGTTCAGAGAAAGTGAATGATCAGTTTTAGTGAGATGTTGGGAGAGACACGTAAAAGTCTGTCTCAGTGGGGTAGGAGGATGGACTATTTGTAATGGTCAATACCTAAAAGCGAGACATTTAAGAAATGTAATTGAATATGAAAACATTATTTAGATATAGATATCTGAACAGATGTAAACAGCATCATAATATTTGCTGCGATTGTCTTATTTTCATCTGTTGCCCAGCTGAGAAAATTTGTCACAGGTGTCATTCCACTTCTTCCTGGAGTCGTAAAAAATTAAAGACGCCATAATCAGCAGATATAACATTCGACTAGGGATGGGCATCTTAAGTAATGTCCATATTTGAGTACTCGCTTTAAAATATTACAGAGTACTCGCAAAAATTTTAATGTAAGAATAGGGTCAGAAATGAACACCCAAGCAAAAATGCAGGTTGGGGTTAAGTATGACCCACTGTGCTGCACGGACTGTGTAGACTGTGACACACACATTTAATGTTGCATAGCTTGCACTGCACATTCATTTCATTTATTTTGCCACAGTCCTTCAAAACATCCCTCTTATGCCTGGTTGCCATTTGGCCTGTAATGTTAGAGCGCATTATACCTGACTGAAAGTGTTGAATGTCCTATGCAGATCTGTAATGTTTGCTATATTGATCTGTGCAGACATCCATAAATAGCAGTTAAAGAAGCATTTCACTGCTGGAAAGATGTTCTTTTCATCAACCTGTGCCATCCATGCAGTAGAGAGATACAAATGCTTTTGAAATTGGTGCTCTAGGACCAAAGAAAGTAGAGGAAAGGGGGCTGTGGCATCCACTTTTGCTCAAGAGTTAGAAAACGTTCAACTACTAGAATCCACTGTGCTGCACCGGACAAATACAGGAAACACTATGGTGCCCACTTCCTGTTCACAAATTCTTATACAGCCAAACAGTGCAGTGAAAAGTGCTGGATCATATTTGAATAGCACAGTCAGCTTCTTGATCTCCTGATCTCAAGGATGCCAAATCTGAATTGTTCTCAAATATCTTGATTTGCTTCTTAACTCATTGTGTTCGCGGTAGTGGGCATACCAAAATGTCGAAGTACAAAGACACATGAGCAGGGAGATCTCCTAAAATGGAGGGAAGTTTACCACAGTTCATGTGAGTCGGTTGATTACTCTGTATGTTGAATGAATGATGTCCAAGTCGAGTACTTGAATAGGCTACTTATGCCCATCCCTACTCGCCACAAAGGTATCCGTTAAACATAAACATCCATACATCGGTTTAGAAATCATATTAAAAAGATGCTCCTCATAACCTCAGATCTTATCCCACATTAATCATCTCAGCATCAAAGTAATGTCTGTGCAGTTTTCAAGTCTGAAGTTTTGTCATATTCACAATTACAACGAAGCAGTTGTTGGCAAGGAGAACCTTAGATCTCAGACCCCCTCCCCCTCGCCCACACATTTTTAAATATGTGGATGATGTGGAATTAGATGGTTTCTTGCTGCCAAATTCTGCACCCTCGACTGACTCTCAGGGGGGAAAAAGACTGACAAATCCATTAGATAGTGTGCAGATAATTATCTACAAGAGAATAATTTGTCTTCAGATGAAACATGGCTGATGTCCCTCTGACCCAAACAGTAATGAGTCAGTTGAGAAGCAAATGTGGTTTTAGTGTTGCCACTTTACTTTTACTGTAAGAACTAGAGTACAGAGAAGATTTGAAACTTCATTTAATTTAAGTTATAGTTATTAGAGTTGTTTTGAAACCTCTGATTTTACAAAAAAAAAGCCAATCAGATAATGACCTCAACTATCAACTAAACAGACATGTCCTCACAGGCACTGAGAGGCTGAAGTGGAAAGGACAGGTGTACTGGATACTTTACTGGATATTGTATTTCAAGATAACAAATCTGGATGATGAATATTATAAAATTTAGGTTGCATCTGACTGCTGCTAATCTCCATATTTTATGTAATTTTTCTCAAAGTGGCATTTAATTTAGCGCTGAGTCTTTCCCATATATTTTATCCGTCTTTTTCTACTATTCAATGTTTTCTGCACTAATCTTCTTTCTCTGTCTCCTTATGCATGAGCGACGAATATGATTTGTAACCATCTGTCGTAATCACACACTTTTAAATGTATTTACCAAAATGTGAAAAACAATCTTATTCCCAATAGACTTCACAAGGATTATGAGTTCTAATCTGCCTATTTAATCGGTTCTACACATAAAATAGAAAACTGTTTTTTTGTTTTTTTAAACTTCCATTCCCAGACGTTTTTTTACTAGAAGATACACCCACGCACCCACCCACGTTCAATGGTGACATCTTTCCTTCGGGAAGTTTGGAGTCATAAATGAGATGCATCATGCCTCCTCTCACCAAAATGCAAATTCAGTAAGATGCACACAAGACAGTGCCTCATATTTATATACCGCTAAACGAAAAATGAATAGAGGTGGGATTAGTTGTGCTTTGCTTCTTGAGGATGATAAACACATGTATATTTATAACCCTGGCTATAGCCGTGCCAGAGTGAGCCATTCAGTGTAACAATGATGACAGTGTAAAATGCTGGAAGAGCCTGCATAGTGCGATAATCAGCTTTGCTAACCTGTATATATGCACACATCTATCTTATGGGGAGACATTTTTTCAAAGAAGGTATCATAGGTTATTCTACTACCTTGGTGTACACTAATGAGGAAATGAGGCAGTGTCTCATCCTCTAACCACTGCAGAATGGAGTGGAATTTGATGAGAGGGGAAATTTCACACCAAAATAACAAAGGATCATTCTTGGACTTTATAGTGGGAACTGAAAAGAGGACAAAACGTCTGAAGTTTTTCTTTCTTCACATGCACAGGCTGAACAGGCTCAGTGCTCTATATCAGAAGGAAAAATTTAGATAAGAAAAGTGCTCATGGCAGTCAAGATAGATGAGTTGGACAAGAAAAGAAAACTAAGGCTGTGTCTGAAATTACTCCCTCATTCACTCTTTAACTACCCCCTGTTTATATTGGATACTCTGGTAAACCACAGACTGTAAAGATAATGGAAGTAGCTACCATGATTTCACCCACTGGTTTGTGGACTCCTGTTTAAAAGCCTCAAGTTCAGCATTTTGGCTGTCTACTTTTTTTTTGTTTGTTTGGAGCCAGAAGTGACTACATTTGGGTGAGAGGCTGCTGAGGACACTATCCGCAGACATTCTGTCACTTAAAGCTTTTCGCCCTTAATTATGCGTAACTTTAAGCCTTAAACAAATGTAAACAGGTGAAAAATATAAAAGAGACCAAAACTGTTTTTTGCACCAGGCTGTAAACATGTTAATTTCTGCTGTAAAGTTGGACATTTTAACATGGGTGTCTATGAGGAGGGACTCATCTCTGAAGCCAGCTTCTAGTGGCCATTAGAGGAATTTCAATTTTTTGCACTTTGTGTTGGCTTTATTTTTCAGCCCTAAAGGTTGCTGCCTGTGGTAAAATGAGATTTCAGACACTTGGATGGCCTTAGTTTAGCATGTTATCATGCTAACGTTTAAAGATTTGCATTAGACACAAAGTACAGTTGAGGCTGATGTAATGTCTTCATTTTTGCAGGTGTAAAAAATCATATACTCCCTGCCTAGTTGTCAAAATAGATAGATTGCAAAACCATAGCTGTCAGAAATCATCTCCATCATATTCTGCATTGCATTGAGTCTTTACGCCGTTTTATTTAAGTATCCAAATTCTGAGAGTGTAAATACAGTATGTCCACTATATAGTACCCTCAAAAATTCAAGGGAATGAAAAAAAGGGGTGTTCATGGCGTCTACACTGCTTTCTGCTCACAATCCCACAGTGCAATGCAGAGCATTTTACAGATGCAGAAATTACTGTTGTGCATTTACATGATGATGCTTAATGATGATGACTAGTAAGTGTCTGAAACCCCAATTTACCACTCCCTATAGAGTGAACTATTGAACGTCATTATAGTGAGTAGTAAATAAGTGAATGAGGCATTGATTCTAAACACAAACATGTTCTGCCAACAGACCATTTTCACAGCAGACATTTTAACTGTCATAGTAGGAAAAGCACAGGTGTTACTCATAACATTAATGATGGCTTCGCACTATTCAAGCATCCCAATGAGTCATGACAGCCTTCAAATGACTCAGCATGAACACCAGGTCCCTGAAAGTGAAGCAGCAAAATAGATTTCAGCCATCATTTGATCATTTACACGTGTGCTTTTCATACTATGACATGACAAATATCCTCTGTAAAGAGGAAAAAGGCAATGTTTTGCTGCAAGCTATGAATACACACATGAACACAGCCAATAGCGCTCCACTAAACATATGTATTACTCTATCGTTCATCGTCCAATGAATTGCTTTCCACACTTTAAATAAATGACACTACTTGAACACATATTTAATTATTTGCCAAAGAGGTTCACGGTTTGACTTCACATACTGAGATACATTTCTGCTTTATGTGCATAAAAAAATATTTAACTAAATATGTTGGTGTGTATATGTTTCCCACACCATCACATGGTAACTCAAATATAGTAAAATAAGATTTGACATCCCCTATAATCCAATTTAACTAATAATATGTAGTTTCCAAAAACATATTGTCCATGACTCTGTTACACCAAGAGATATCTGTCAAATCAAGTGTGCTATTGTCTCGACACAATGGGAGCGATGTGATCTGCACTCTCTGCTTCAAGATGCTTGTTGACGACCTAAAACAAGTGAAACCCTGTTAGGAACAGCAGCAATTATTTTGGCTGCAGATTGTTCACTTGTCTGAGGTAAGAGAAAGGTGCAGGCTGAATGCTAACCACGGGGGGAAGTAGAGGGATGGGAGCATTCATTCTGCTCACTGCATCCTCCAGAGAGCTACAGTGTGCGAGGCACAAAAAAAAAAAAGAGAAGTAGAATGAACATTACTTTCCAGCGGTGTGGTTATTGATTCTGTTGCTCCTCTCTCTGGCCTTCCCACGCAGATTTACATGGAACACACACTGTATTTCTCCCTCCATCCCTCCGGCTTTTTGTTTAATACCACATGACTTTTACTGTGACTCGGCCAGCCATTGACTGCTCAGGCTGCTGTGTGTGTATGTGTGTGTGTGTGTGTGTGTGTGTGTGTGTGTGTGTGTGTGTGTGTATGTGTTCACACAGACAGGGTGTTAGCCTCGCCTGAGGTTCTGTAATGTCCGGTCTCGCTGATTTGTGCATCTCACACCACCTGTAGACAGGCCTGTCACGTTGTGTAGCTGCTGCGGCTTACATGCCTCAAGGACTGTGTGTGTGTGTGTGTGTGTGTGTGTGTCCTTTACATGGGTTACGTGGCTGGTGTGTCTGAGGCAAGAACAAAGTATATATGTCTTCATCCATGTTTCTGCATGAGTGTATTGATTCTTCTTGAGTCAAGTGTGTGTGTAGGGATTGTGTATGAGTGTGTGTTTTTGCTTGTGTGTATGTGACTGTCAATGCTCTCGGCTGTTGAGCAACCTGCCCAACAAAATCAGGATTGTCTCTGCTGTATTTGTTCTTTATATTTGTTCTGTATGTGCCTACATTTTCTATGCTTTCATACAGCATGTTTTATGGGTGATGTCATGGTAACTATGTTTATTTTTATAGTCTATGGATTTTCCATTAATTTGGTGTTTTGGTGATTGCCAAAATATCGCATTAAGCTGGCGAGGGTGTGGATTATGAGCTAACAAGCTTGCCAGTATCCATTTACAATAAATGCCAATAACTTTAAGTACTGTAGACATCTTAATTGGCTTGCTAAAAGGTTATTCATTGTTGGCAATAAGGTTTTATAAATAAGTAATGACAACTGACGGTGAAATTCATTTTAGGGTTTGCCACTTCTCAAATGCTCATAGCATTGGTAGCATCAGAGTTCTGTGGTCACTGCCTGGAGTTACTGGCAGGATATGACTCTTTGTTGGACTAGTCAAAGAGCAGTGAGCCACACCACATTGACTTTCCTGGCCTAGAACTTTTCTCCAATTACTGCAATTAAGCTGAATGACGTCACCCTGTGGTTTGTGGACTGCCATTTTTGAAGCCTTGAGTTCGGCAGTTTGGCTGTGGCCATCTTGCTTTTTGGCGCCAGAAGTGACCAATGTTTGGGCAAAAGGTTGGAACTGTGGAGTGAATCTGACTTAGAAGCTGACAGACAACCTGTCACTTAAAGCAGCTCACCCTTAATTATGTGTAACTTTAAGCTTTAATAAAAATATAAACAGTTGAGTGGGGGTCTATGGGAACTGACTTGCTCTCGGGGCCAGCCTCAAGTGGCCGTTCAAAGAACTGCAGTTTTTGCCACTTCCATATTGGCCTCATTTTTCAGCCCTGGAAGTTGCTGCTTGAGGAAATCAGGGAAAAGTAAAGAAAAAAATTATAAGCACAAAGACAAACTAAGAATCCCAAACCAAAAATAGGATCACAGGCAATACAGTCACAATCAAGATGCAAATCATTTTATTTTGAATCTCATTTATTCAGCTGGTTTTATGCTCCATCAATGTTATTTTTAACTTATATTTAAAGTTGATAGTGGGTTGCCAGGATTAACTGTGAGATGATGATGCACTGTTTGTGTACACGCTGAAACTCACAAGCCCTCCCCTCTTCTTCTTCCCTTGCCTTTCTCTGTTGCCATGGATACTACAGGCGGTTGCCAAGCGAGGAGGACGGCTCAGTGTCAAGTAACGGCTCTGGGAAGCTGAACACCAGCAAGAGCTCCTCGGCCCGAAGGACGGCGACGGGCAGCAGCACCAAGAACGGCAAGGAGGAGCTTCACAAGAGGAGCACCAACGGTGAGGAGGAAGAGGGGGTCGGAGAGGAAATACGGAGAAGGGGGGCGGTTAAAGAGAGAGAAAGAATTACAAAGAAGGAGTGAGTGAGGGAGGAAACAGAGAAAGGTGACAAGTAAATACTGAGATGGACAGACAAACGCACTGATGGAGAGATAAAAAGAGAGATATTTATTCAGTTCTTAATATTAGCACCAACCACAAAGTCTGTCATTGGTAATAAACATGTGTTGATCAGCCCCTCCCCACACACACACACACACACACACACACACACACACACACACACACACACACCCACACACTCTCACACCTTCTTATACTGTAATACTTCACCCAAAGGATAATTAATATGAGCTAATGAAGTGCACAAGAGTACAGAATGAACACAGTGACTCAGCCTGCTGCTGCATCACGAAAGTGTCAGTGATGACACAGATACTCATCACACACACACACACACACACACACACACACACACACAAACTGTCGATATCGCTCTTAACTGGATCAAAAGAGACATCTAAGGTGTTTGTATTTAAGCATTTAAGTGTTTTCATTTGGCTTGCTTCAGTGCTCTTTGGGGATAAAAGCCAGCGGTTGGCAGAGTGGGTGCCATAAGCACTGCATCAAGTTACTTTAGAGTAGAATCACAGAGGAAGGACAGGAAAGTGGGAGAGTTGTCAGAGAGTTGTGACAGCATACTGTCAGATTAGGTGTTATTTAAATCTATACAACCCACAGCACTGCCGTTTGTGCATTAGAAAAATGACTCAGCGTTAAACCTGTGACACTCGGAGGGATCATCATCCTGGGGGAAGAGACATTGATACACTGTGTAGCTATTAAAAACAAATTAGCGCTGTAATTTCCAACCGTTTTTTTTATTAAGGTTGTGGGTATATTAGCAATTATCTCCATCTAGTCATAGGTACACACTTAAACACAAACAAAATCCAGCAGGTATGATTGACAGTATAACTTAATTACACCATATGGTGTGGTTACACATCTCTGTCTCCACAAAATCACATTTGTATACAACTAATTTGAAACAGCAAATACATTTTGAGGGAAACAATGCCGAGCAGCATTTGTTGAGCTAATTTGTAGGATATCATAAGAACTATTCTATGAGGATACTTTGCATAATAAGGAAATGTTGCTAATTAATGTACCCGGCAATTTGAAAAAATGTTGATACTGAACATAGTAGGAAAATTCAAACCTTTAAATTAAGACTTGGGAAGTCAATTGAGGAGACCCTCATTTTCAGTGATGCCGCGCATGAACAAAGACGTTAAAAACAATCAATAAGCAAACAAAGAACCATCATGCATATCAATTAAAACAGAAATCAAATCATACAAAACAAAAACAGCATTAAATGGTCGCTAAAAGTAGAAATACAGGCTGTTAAACATGCTCAGGTGTAGATGTATAGTTAAAAGCATTGACACTCAATTAAGACAAGATCAGAAATAAGGCATTTAAACAGTTGTAAAGGTGGCAGTGTCCAAGTTTAAGGTCTTTTGCAGATTGTTCCATGTAGGAGCAGTGTAAGAGAATGACAGCGTTCACTGACAACGTATTTCGTTTTCCACCAAACTAGGCAATCTTGCAATGCACTATCCACTCGTAGTGACCACCAACCATGATCTTTCCCTAAAATTAACCAAAGTGCATTTGTTGCCAAAACCTGAAACAGGAGTCTGGATGGGAACCCTGGACACAGTCCCCCCAACTATTCCCTTAAGAAGCCTGCACAGTGCATTAATGTTGTGCTTTGTTGTCTGAATCAAATGTTGTCTCTGACCATAATCCAGGCAGCGATTACGTCACCACAGCAAGGTAATTAAGAAAGCAGTTTAGTAACATACAAATATAATTTCTAAGAGAGAGGTTTGGGTTGTACTCTGACCACACACAGCCACACCCATCAGTGATTCTCAGTGAAGTCAGATATGTGACAGACTTCAGTCTTTACACTAGTGAAATGCTGCTTTTTGGTCTCGTAAAATTTTTTCGTCGATGTTTTTCTGCAGGGCCGCATGCAGAAATGGCGGGGCCCCTGAAAATATTCAGTGAATGGGCCTTCCTCAAATCTGCTTTACTCATATTAATGCATGCACACGCTGTTTCTCTCCTAGTTTAGTTCAGTAAATTTCTAAGGTCATTTGCCGCCCATATTTTTATTTTTTTATTTGTTTGTTTTCCATTATTGCGTACAAAAAAAGTGACTCCTACCATTTTCCAGAGGGGGGGGGGGTTTCATTATGTAACAGTTTACATTTTACAAAAGCAACAATGAATACAAATTTTAATTGTCTTGTAAGAAATGATGATCATTTGGGTTCAAAATGAAATTTGGTTATGTTTGGACAAATATGATTATTGCCTTCATTGGCCCCCTCTAGCGGCTGGGCCCCAAAGAGCTTTTCCCACCTCATGGGTGGCCCAGCTTTTCTGTTACATTTTGTTTTCCTCATAGCTTACAATTACAATATAATCAGCACTGAATGGTAACTACTTAAATGCCCATGTTTCCAGGGATCTCCTACCTCTGTATCAGATTAATATTCTATATGTTCAATGCAAAGCCTCAAGCCTATTTTTTTTTTAATTTTTTTATGACAGCACCATTAGAAAAAACTCCACATTTTGCATACGGGTAGATAACATCATTCAAACTGGTATTTTTGGACTTGTGACTTAATATGAAATTCTATGTGTTTGCAGAATGCACAGCTGTAAAGCTATGTCCTTGAAAGGTCAGAGAGGTTTGATAGGTCAAAATTTGTTTGGAGTGTTATCCATCTACACAGCTTGCTCTCCAGTGTCCAGTGAATATACTATTATATAATAGTATAATAATATAATACTATTCATATTTGGGTAAATATTCCTGTTCAGACACAGTATATTAAGATACATATGCTTTGATCTGCAGCACCTGTTATCAGTGGCAGTATATGTACTGCATCTTCCAGATTATTTATTTAACAGATTAGCAAGCATATCTTTTTACAGCTTTGCCAACTCACAGTTGGTTGCATAAACATTGCTCCGATCGCTGATAACGCTGCGACATTGTTTCTGTTCATTGACATTCCAGGACGCTGTGATTTTCAATCTCTTTTGCATCAGCAAGCCAGTGTTCACAGTAATTTGTGTGATTTATAGTGTTTATGCAAGCAAATGAATGAATACCCAGGAGGAGAGGAGGAGGGGATGAATAATTGTTTAATTTTCTCACCACTGTTCACAGAGAAACCAGAGATGGACAGAACTGTTTTTAGAAAAAAAAACATAGAGAGATGAAAGAAAAGCCAGCTGAAGCACTGTTCATGAAAATGACAGATTAATAAAGGTGTAAATCCAGCAAACTAGAAGCATAAATCCAGAGAGAAAGAGGATTCAAAACCATGTGGAGGATGATAAACTACAGTACTGATAAAAACATGGCAAAAACAGAAATGACAAGAGGGGTAAAAGAATGCAGAAAGGTCGAGTGAAGTAAATCTAAATGTGGTTGGTGTAGTTATTCCACAGGGGAACATAGGGGAGACCTGGAAAGGTTGTAACATTTTTGACATTTCTGAATGTATCCCGGTTTCTACATTTCAAAAATACCAGCCCCTCTAAAGCTTGGTAAGTAGCACACTGTATCTCGTTTCTTTTCTTCTTTCTTTTAATCTGTTCACAAACAGAAATATATTAATTACAAGTTGTGGTTTTATGTGAAATTACATGATGGAATTTTTTACTTGGCGGCTGTACTGTAATTCCTCTCAAAGCACAGGCAGACAGAAGTGGCTTTGCTACTGGTTTATTTAATGCTTCTCTCCAAATCCACTGAAAACTAAACACACAGTATAAACAAGGAAATACAGAGACTATGTTAGCTTAGCATAAACAGTAGCATGCACAGCATATAGAATAACATTTTACCAGAGTAAAATACAGACAAATAAAGCAAAATTCCTCACATGGCTCCATGCTGCAAATAGTGAGTTGTCTTAAGAGGTTTCTGTTTAACCGCTGACATCAATCGAGGTCTATTGTCAAAATGGAACATTCAATTGTCCGTGCTTGCTGCTCACTTAGCAGAGTTGTGACTCTTAATCACACAAGAGCAGCCCATTGAAAATTGAGCTGAGACCTCAAAATAAAAGCACATTTGACCTATGGCTAAGCCACGCCCCCCTCCACTCACGTGGACAAAATATCAACATTCAGTGACTGGCGCTATGGCAGGTGTCATAGTACACGGCATTTCGCAGGAGGCAATTGATGATTTTTGGGGACATAATGATCAGATGTCATTGAGAAGTAACCAAAAGGGTCTAAACTACGCATTGGAGGAATATATTAATCATTTTATTGTTGAGAAGGTCGACGAAAAGCTTAAATTACAAGCCAAAATTTACAGGTCACAGTGTACGCTTGTGAACCGCATCTCGTTGCCGTCGCCATCAAAGACAACAAGTTAAAGTGCCACTGAAGTTAAGGTTTTTGGCTCAGAATATAAGAAAAGGATAACGGCCTTTTTACCATCTTTACCAAGACGTTTGCCAACCTTTGCTATCTCTGCCATTACAGATAAGTTAATGAAGCTAAGCTCCAGAAGTTAACGTTAGCTTAACTAGAGCCCTTTGGACAACAGCTAGCAATGATGTACGATCACCAAAGTACAAAACAGCTACAAAATAGGCTAATGAACTCCCAGCAAACAAGGTGACATGATGAACAATGCAGCTAGGAGCTAACTTTAGGCTATCTTTAGCTAACGTTAGCTAGAGATGTTAAAGATAACTTTATATTTCTTTCCAGCAAAGTGACAATATGTTGCCTCAAACACGATGTTGTCTTACCTTAAAACAGATGTAGACATCCTTGTTAATCTTATTCATGTTGAGTTGATGTTGTGGTCTAACGTTACCGCACAACATTATCCAAAGGAGACACTTTTCTCGGTTGAGATGTGGTTTAGGAAAGGGTAA